AACATACAGATATAGACAGTTCATAATCAGGCCATTATGTCCCTACTTCCGGGGCTTTCCCTGTGCATAGAGTCAAATTGAATGTAATAGGATTATGACCTACCACGCGGGTGGGTGTTAACGACTGCAGATGGACCAACGGCTTAATGTGCCTTTCAAAGCACAGAGGAACTCAACATAATAAATTTTTATTCACCCATCCTATGACCGGCCTATGCGAAAGTTGCTCATCTTCGAGACCAAATGCGCTAACCATTGCACCATCGAGATGCTCTATATAGATGATAGATTATCGAATATTCTAGGTATGGGACCTATTTCATAAAATCTATTGCCTTTTTACCATTTCAAAGGTATAAAACCAGAGGTCGGAATTAGGTAGAGTTATTTATGTATTTGCATCGAAATGTTGATATTAATATGGACCTTCCCGGGATTTCTTTATTTCTTTCTTTCATTGATGTAAGTTTGGCAACGTCGTGCGTGCAGTAGTTTAAATTGTGTAAAAGTAAATAACTTTTTATTTAAAAAATCACGGGAAATTTCTGCTCTTTAAAATTAATCTCGAGATTTGAGGCATATTCACTTTATTCTTTCGCTGTATGAAATCAGTGTAAGTACATGAATAACTCTATCTAATTCCGACCACTGATTATAACGAATAGACTTACTCTTCATTATACCTTCAGTTTCACAAAAGTAGTACTAAAATAAAAGTAAAAAATTAAATTGTTTTATTAATCTCAGAGCTACATACATATATTATATTAAGTCACATTTACATTTTATTACTTAAGCTTAGTTTATTTAGGTAATTCTATTTCATCTAAATAATACTCGTAAAATTATTTAAAAAAGTGCGACGTCATAAATAGAAAAAACAAAGTCCATATTTTTAAACTTTATAATTGTATTATTTTTATTAGTTTTACGGTATTGATAATCATGATATACCTTTTTGGAATCCTTTTATTCTTATCCTTGTATTTATCCCATTCTTTTGATACCCATATTGTAGTATTTGAAACAAAAAAAAAACACAGCCGCCATAATTTTTTATTTTAACGTTACCTATCTAAGAACACTTGGGCTACTAAGTTAAATCTAATGATACCTCAATTATCTAAATACGGTCAGCGGTTCCGAATATACATACATACAAGATACGCGCGAAAAACCCAACTCTTTCTTTGCAGTCAGGTAAAAAAAAGGGGATTTTAAGGTTTATACAACTTAATCAAAAATATAGTAACATGTTGTTCTAAACTTATCATTTACAAAAGAATTATAATTTAAAACATGAAATCTTGTAAAAAACGATCATTCTCAGGTTTTAAAAACATACAGAAAAAAAAACAAAAACGTATAAATATTCCTAAACTCTAATACAAACTCTTATATTTTTACAGAAATAGAAAAAAATAATTTTCAATTTCATTCTCTTGAAAAGACATGGTGCAGAAAAACCTCTTGTTCTTTATAAAATAATAAAAAAAAAACTTGAAGATTGTAAGTCGCACGCGCGATTAATTTAATAAGGTCCACTTCAAATATTCATATATTTTCAATGACGCTGTATTCCATGATATAAAGTATCAAAAGTATTTAGGTAAATAAATTCATTAATAGTTTTTCGGCTACATAATGACAGACAATTTTATCATTTTTTACAAAGAAAGTAAGTAGATACCTACAACATATTTTAAGAGAAGAAATTGGATTTCGTTGAAGTTAAGAATAAACTTTTTTTTATCGAGAAAATGACGTACTCTTCTCATTAAAAATTAAGATTATAGCTTATAAGCTAAACAATATTGTGCTATGTTATTTGTTTTTAACTTTTTTTTAACAGTTAATTTTGTATGCAAATGATATATATTTGGAATGTACTCATTAAGACCTTTGATTTGATACTCATATTGCTATAACTAAAGAAATATATATATATATATATATTAGGGTGGTCCTTATTTTTTGACTTTTGAATTTTCCCCAGGGCACTTTCTCATTCGAATATATACCCTTAAATATGAAGTGAGTTTTTTTATTAAATTTTTTTGTTAAGATTTAGAGGTCGCTACCAGCTGTCAAACTTTATACAAAAAGCATCGAATAACACTCTAAATGATAGTTACAGTAATGTTTCATTTAGGTTTTTAAATCACATTTTGCGAACAAGTGAAACTTGCATAGACAATCGCTGTCTATCCCCTCCGCCCCTAGAGGGCTCTTCTGTACCGACGCGTCGAGATCTAGCCCGCCCCGCACTTCAGTTTAAATAAGTCATCAACGTGTGCGCACGCGCTTTAAGTTATAGTGACGTTTTTCAACTATAACAATGTCGTCTACAAGTAGCGGACTCAGTAAAGCTACTAGAAATCGAAGTAAAGTTTGGCTTATCGGTCAATTATTATCAGAATTAAGCCAATCAACGTTGCCATCCATCCGTGAAGTTTTGCGGTACTTTTTTCATTACAAAAATGAAGCAAAGAAAAGTGTACGTGAATCTGCGACTTTGACGGCTTGTGCAATTATAAATTTGTGGGAAAAAACTAGTATGCCAATTCAATTAAAAAAACATATCATCAATAAAATTGAAAAACTATTTAAAGAATGGCAAAATCTAAAAAACAATAAAGAAAACAAGAAAAAACGTTCAGAAACATTGAAGATAAAAGAACAAAACTGGCAACAAAAATTAGAAGGTTTATTTGACGTTGCTCATCGTGATGCTTTAAATATTATGACTTCAGAAGAAGACAAGCAGTTTTTAATAGCAGTACGACAAAATCGACATCAATTTTTAATTGGTTCAGTGGATAGAAAAACTTTCAACAAATGTAAGAAAATGAAGGAAAATAAAAAAAAAGAAGAAGAACGCCTTGAAAAATTGCGCGAGCGTGAGAACAAGAAAATCTTGGCATTAACAGGAAAGTCCACCTCAATTTCTTTATTATCTCAATTTATTTCGTCGTCTGAACCCACCAGTGAAGAAGAAACTTTGTCAAACACCAAATCACAATTGTCCGAAATGCTGCCACCTCAGAAACGAGCTCGAAAAGATATAATTAACAGCCAATTAGCCTCCACTCTTGATGTCTCTAAATTGAGTGACAGGCGAGCAACTATGGTTGTGACGGCTACTTTAAAAAGTGCAGGCTATGATCCATCAGAATTCAATGTCAATAGATCTTCTATTCGTCGGCAGCGTGTGAAAAATCGCAAAGCTGTTGCAGAGTCTCTCAAAAGCGAGTTTAAACATAATTCATCATTAACAATCCATTGGGACGGTAAACTGATAGAAGATATTACTGGACACGAAACTGTAGATCGACTGCCAATTTTGGTATCAGGACATGGAGTTGATCAACTACTCGCAGTTCCAAAATTGCAACGTGGAACGAGTGAAGCATGTGCGTCAGCTATCTACGAAGTTATAAATTCATGGAATTTGAGTGATAAAGTTAAATGTTTGTGTTTTGACACTACTGCTGTAAATACGGGCTTAAGAAGTGGAGTATGCGTTCTTTTGGAACGAAACATGAATAAAAATATGCTTTGGCTTGCTTGTCGTCACCACATAATGGAAATTATGTTGTCAGCTGTAGTGGATCAATTGCTGGCCCCATGTAGTGGTCCTGATATACAATTATTTAAAAGATTTAAGAACAATTGGAACACTATTGACCAAAGCGACTTCAAAACAATAACAGATGACTCTGAGATAAATATTCCTGCAGAAGTGGCCGCAGACATGATTTTTTTTGCCAAAAAGCAACAACAAATACATCAACCTCGAGATGACTACAGAGAACTGTTGAATCTCACGACCATTTTCTTAGGAGGTATTCCTGAAAAAGGTGTTTCATTTAGGAGGCCTGCTGGTGTACATCGAGCTAGGTGGATGGCAAGAGCCTTATACTGTTTGAAGATTTATTTATTCAAACATCAGTTCAAGCTTACAAAGAAAGACGAAAAGGCTGTAAGAGAAATATGCATTTTCACAGTGATAATTTATGTTAAATATTGGTTTCAAGCTCCTAGCGGATGGTCAGCACCAAGAAACGACCTACAATTATTGAAAGACCTTAAGGCCTTCGAAATCTTCAACAAAAATATTGCTGCTGTTGCGCTAAAAAAGATTCTAAATCATTTGTGGTACTTGTCGGAAGAGCTAGTTTCACTTGCCTTTTTCGATGACGAACTTTCAGTAGAACAGAAGAAAAAAATGGTAAAAGCACTGAGAATTGAAGGCACAGAAGATTGCTTAAAAAGAATAAGTCTTGATATCACACATATCCATGAAAAAAATGTAGAAAATTTCGTGAGTAGTAATTCCTTAAGATTCTTCCAGATCCTAGGTATATCATCAAGTTTTTTGGAAAAAGACGTTGAAACTTGGAACGAAGACTCAGATTATGTAGTTGCCAAAAATATTGTTCATTCTTTGCGAGTAGTCAACGATTTAGCTGAGCGCGGTGTTGCTTTAATGGAAGAATTTAATAAATTAATTACAACTAATGAAGAACAAAAGCAATATTTGCTTTTGTTGGTAAAAGATTATAGGAAAAAATATCCTAATACTAACAAGTCAACCCTTATATCTTTAAAATAAATGATCTAAATATGTTAATTCATAAGAACAACAATAATTAAGTAATATTTTTTTGTCCTGATTATAAAAATATAAGAATTTGAAAAATACAGATTTTGTGTTTTTATTTGAGATTCAATCCTTGGTAGCGACCCCTAAATGTCATTAAAAAAAATAAAAAAAAAATACTGATTCACTTTCTCATAGTATATATTAAAATTACGTGGTGGCCCGCGAAATTAAAGAAAAAAAATTTTTTTCTTAAGAATAAGGACCACCCTAATATATTTTTTAAATTGCATCGAAATATCCGTCATATTAATATTTCCGAAAAATATGTAATGATTCTAAGATACCTTATACGCTCATATCCGTTGAGCATTTCAAAAGTAATTAATCCTAAAAAATACAAAACATTGCAACTTTCATGGCCAGTCGTGTAAAAATATATGTACTAAAATAAGTGGTGGTATTACTATTTATGTAAATTTTTGCTTATTTCTTGGTCGAGCCACCAATGCCAGACCAATAATTATCAGCGTAGCACCAATCCACCATCGCACCGACGCACCTTCATCGAAGAACATCACTCCGATCAGACCCTGAAATTTATATATCTTCATAAATAGCATCAACAGCACGTCAGGTCATACAGTACTGCCAGACTCTGCATTCTATTATACCATAATACATATATTGAAGTAAAGTTCAAAATGAATTGCAGAAATTTAACCTCATACAATGTCAATAAAAAAATATTATAAAGTTTACATCAGTTTTTTTAGGTTTTTGTCATAATACGAGGGTCAAACTGAAAGTTCTTAGAACTGGCCACTTATAAACAATATAATAAAAAAATAATTCTAAAATTTGAAAATATAACTCTTTGCCAATATTACTGAGTATATATTTCATTCCTTTGTCATTTGTTTTACGATTTGGCGGCAAATTGAAAATTGTCTGTGTCACGTCATCATGAATTTAACACGAGAAAATTTTCGTGCAATGATTTTTTATGACTTTCGATGTCATTTAAGTCAACAAGAAAGTTATGATAGACTACGATTGGCCTTTCACGATGAAGCCCCATCTCGTGCGACTGTTTACAACTGGTTTAATGAGTTTAAACGTGGTCGCACTAATCTCACTGATGATTTACGTGAGGGACGGCCTTCTACGGCGACGACTGAAGATAACATCTGTGTTGTGCGGCGTATGATAGAGACTGACAAAAGAGTGACCTATCAACAGATTCGGACAAGCTTAGGCATCGGTATGAGTCAAGTGCACAAAATCCTCCACGAACATTTAGCGGTCAGGAAGCTTTGCGCCCGGTGGATACCTCATAATTTGACTGAGGCTCAAAAACTCCATCGTGTGGATTGGTGTCGTAAAATGATTGAAAGATTTAACGGAGGTGACTCAAATGCTGTGTTCGACATACTAACAGGTGACGAAAGCTGGATTTACTGTTATGATCCTAAAACCAAAAGACAATCTGCTCAGTGGGTGTTTCCTTTCGAGGAGTTGCCAACTAAAGTGAAGAGAGATCGAAGTGCGGGAAAAAAAATGGTGGCCTCGTTCTTTGGAAGGATAGGTCATTTTGCAACAATTGTGTTAGAGGATCAAAAAACAGTTTCTGCAGAATGGTACACTACCAATTGTTTGCCACTTGTCTTGGAAAAAGTTCGAGAGAAACGACCTCGCAGTAGGATCCTCCTTCACCACGACAACGCCTCGTCGCACACCGCCAAGCGAACGATCGACTATTTGGCGACATCAAACGTTGAATTACTGGGTCATCCGCCGTATAGCCCCGACCTCGCGCCTTGTGATTTTTATTTATTTCCAAAAATTTAAGAAAAACTTAAAGGAAAGCGGTTTATGAATGCTGAAGAAGCGGTGGCTGCGTATCGCGATGCCATTGAAGAGACCCCTAAGGACGAGTGGGCAAAGTGCTTTTCCCAGTGGTTCCATCGCATGCAGCGGTATATTGACGTGAATGGACAATATTTTGAAAAGATATAATAAAACTAATAACTGGCTAATGTAATCAGTTTTTGATTTTCTAAGAACTTTCAGTTTGACCCTCGTATCATGGTCGGTAGAGAAGAGATTGCTGTAAAATTAGTATAAAATTGTATGATTTCTATGTACATATAAAAGATGAATTGCAAGGCCGCATACTGGCACAGTCACCACTGGTCAACAAAAATATGATAGAAAGGTCGCGGTCGCCACCACCACCGTGTCCGCGGGCTTCTAGCTAACTACTAGCTAACTAGCTAACTACTACTTTTTGTTCTAGGACCTCAAACCAGCTATTCTTTATGTAGTAACTGCATCTCCATCTCAATAGAATCTCAGCTACTTGCATTTTGCTCTTGTGGTTTCTACCTGAATTCCAATATGATTAGTGTCTGTCTATGTCTATGTCTTTGTCACAAGTCAATGGTGACAGATATAAAATAATATTGGATTTCAGGTAAATAATACAATAGCAAAATAGAAGCAGTTCAGATTCTAATGAGGTTAACTTAGAAGAATTGGCATGCAGTTTGCCATCTTAAGGGAATACCCTAAAAATACTTACAGACAATACGTAGCTAGTAGCAGCAGATACAACAGTGGGTGTCACAGAATCGCTTGCCGCATCCAGAGAGCGTAAGTAATGTCTGCAACCCCAAGTATTCACTAAAACCATCACTATCAATAGTGCTGCCCATATGACGTAGCTGTCGCCCTTACATTAAAAAATAAATAAGGTTAGTAATTACGATATTTTAAATTTCGTTAGAAAGATCGAATAATAATAATTTAAAGAGTAACGCTTCGAACGTTGTTTGTTTATATGTATTTATAATCTTCGGAAATGCTGAACTGATTATGAAAATTCTTTCACCGGGAAGCTACATCATGGTATGTACGCGGGTGACAAGGCTATAAATTACGGGCGAAGTCGCGGGAAACCAGCTAGTACCTAATAATAATAAAAGATGCTTATTATTTAATATCGTATTTAACACAGCGACGGTTAAGAACCAAGAACATCTATCTATATACAAAAAGTCGGTTTTACAGGAGACGAAAAAAAGTTTTTTTATTTTTATATCTAATCATTGAATGGATAGGCATGGGAAATAAGGTGTTTACATGTATTTCACGAAATCTATATTAGTTTCAAAATTACTGTAGATAGCTAGTATTAGTTAAAATATTTGCGTATGTATATGCAGCTAACTGTAATATAGATAGTATTGGCACCTTATGAATCGACAACAATTTGGTTTTACAAGGGGTCGCTTAACAACCGAAGCCGGTGTCGAGTTAATACAAGAAATTTTTAATGCCTGGGAGGACTCGCATGATGTGTTCGGTGTTTTCTGTGACCTGTTTTTTATGAAATATTGATTAGGAAACTTCATAACTATAGATTTAGAGATAACTCATTGGGCTCAATACTTGGTCCTTTAAATAGTTTTATTTGCGGAAGACACCACACTTTTGTTTTAAATTAAAAGAGGGCTACCTCTAAATGACGATGTGAATAATTATATCGGTAAAGTAGAACATTGGTTTAATGTAAATAATTTTCTCCTTAATGAAGGAAAAATAAAATGGCTAAAATTTGTACTACCTAATGTTAAAAAAGTAGATATAAATGTAAATACAAAAGATAAGAATATGGGCGTTTTAGATACCACAGTATTTTTAGGAATAACATTAGATTCTAAACTACAGTGGGGCCCACATATTGATAAATTGTCGAATAGACTTGAAGATGCGTAGGTTAACTGACATAGACACTGCCAGATTAGTATACTTCAGTTACTTTCATAGTGTAATGTCGTACAAAATCCTATTGTGGGGAAATGCTGCCGACATACAAACGATTTTTGTTCTTCAGAAAAGAGCAATTAGATCAATTTATAATCTTTGGATTAGGCTCTTTAAGGGAGAAATTTAAGGAAATAGACATAATGACTGTTGCTTCTCAATACATAAGAGAACTTAATGTACGTTCGTAAGAATATTAGTTTGTTTTCTATAAAAAGTGATGTACCCAATTTTAATACAAGAAATAAAAATAAATTACGGTGCCTGTCAATAGACTCCAAAAAGTTAGTAACTCATTCAGGGGTCTTTGTGTGCGCTTCTACAATAAGGTCCCAAGCAAACTACAACAATTAGATATCATGCAGTTTAAATCTACTATGAAAAAATACTTATTAAAAAAGTTTATTATAAGGTATCCGATTATATAACAGATAAGAATGCTTGGATTTAAGATGATCCAGCGACTGGATAGGTGATTACTTCTAAACTCATTTTATATCAAAAATTATCTTGTTTCCTTTATTATTAAATGATTATGTTATCAGTACCTACAAGACCATAGTTTCTTTTTACTCTCTCTATTTATAATGTATTAATCTGGTAATGACATGGTTTTTGTAAATGTCATTACTTCTATTAGAGCTGTTCTTCTTATCAGCCAAAAGACGTCCTGAACGAGTGGTAGGGAAAAAAATGTTGGACGATTCAAAGGTAATTTTAAGAAGTCTATTTGAATAAAGACTATGTTGACTTTGACTTTGAAACGAAATAATATAGATTAAAGACTTTAATCAAGAAAAAAACTCTTTAGTTTTATTAAATTTTATATTTATTTCCATACAATTATTACGACACGTAACTTAGGTGGTACCGGTATTTTCTCTTAACTCCTTATTTATTGCGAACTTGAAGTAGTCGATTAAAGGAAACGGTGCGTAAATTAACCATGAACAGAACTGCATTAAAAAGTGATAATCGCCAAAAGTGTAGATAGATAGTCTCGGTTCTTAAGCGTCGACAGTTCTTCCGGTTTTCTTGCAACCGGTTCAAAATGTAACAATGCTTTGATTGTTTGGCAACAAATTTGGCTTAAATCATAATAGGGTATTTGACAAAATTAAAAATATATAAAAATTGTGGTCATCCTCTATGATAATAGCATAATAATAACACATATTTCACTTTATGTACAATTTTTGCAGATTACACAAAATAAAATAAAATATTGTCCGACATTTTATCTGAAACAAAAACGCCTTGTACAAATTGTTGCAACTCCCATGACGCCACGCTAGTAAATATAGTTTCCTGTTGTTTGACGAGGTTTATTTATTTTTATTTACTTACTCGTGACGTCAAACTGCGCGAGAAACAGGGTTTATTTAATACAGTAAATTTCCCTGAAATATTAATTTAATATGTGTATTATGTAAAAAAGAATAATTTAAAACGATTTCTCAAAATTAGTCAAATACCCTATTTGTAACCCATTTTAACAATTGATTAAAAATTTGATTAGTAGTAGATCAATTTTTTCCTTAGCCAAAATATTAATTATAAATGATGTACAAAAATAAAAAATATCAAATGCATTATTTTATGTAAGAGAGGGCTGTATAAAGTGGCTGTATGGACTAAATCCCTTTGCATTTAATAACAATGACAAATAGCAGTTTTAGATGGAGAGAAAAAATTGCCTTTTCCAAAAAGTGTTGAAGTGTAAAACTAAAGATAACTGATAAGCTATGAACTTACTACAATATATTCTGCTCCTGTTAATTTCCCTATTGTACTACCAAGAGATGACCAAAAACCAGCTAGAAATGCTTCGTAAAACATCTTATATCATTATTTGTAAAGAACTGAAGAATAAAAAATGACATTTTATTTTTTCTTCCTGTAGTCTGTCCTCTTTAGTGATGTGAAATATTTTTATCTAAGAAGCGTATTAGCGTTATTTTATTTATTCTAATATCGTTATATATTTGACACAACGTATTATTGTCCTCTTTTGATTAAATTTAGATAATGATTTTGATATACATAATCATAAAAGTGGGTTTATAGTAAAAGAGATTTATTGATTTATGTGAGTACTATAGTCATTTATTTGAGAAGCAGAGCTATTCACGGTAATAAAATGGAACCCATACGGTCAGTTACATAAACGCTTTTAGGCTCTAATAAATGCCAAATCTGCATGGGTAATGTCGCTTTAAACTAAATACAATTTTAATGGACATATGTACAATTGGCTGTTAGACTTTATTTACAATAAATTATTACAGTAAATATATACGTATTATTATATTTTTACAGTAAAAAAAACTTGAAAAAAATTCACACTGTGATATTTAATTTTGATTTTGATCTCATCACATTCTAATAATGCATTTCAAAGAATAAATTTATAGTGTGTGCATGTTTTGAGTGCACTTTATTTCATTAAAGGCCAATAGGATAACGACTATTTTTTTTTTTATTTGTCCGTCAGGTAGATTGTAGATTTTTTTGTATAATAATTAAATTACGGCGATACACTGAGTCAAAATGTCAAATGTCATCATTTCTACATTTGACGTTTTGACTCAATGTATCGCATTTTGTAGAAAATGCATTTCATGTACATTTTATACCTAATATTTTTCTAAATAGTATTTATTTTTTTAGCCTGTCGTCATCCCTATTTGGCAAGTGCACGTAAATTTATTTAAAAGTGAAATTATTTGAAACAATGTGAAATTTTCTTAGTTACAACGATACAACGTTACCAAATAAATTATTAGTACCACGTTTTAACGTTATATTAACAGGGCGGATGACGGACACTGATCAACATCGGCAGCACTGGCTGACTTGCCTGAGTCAAAGTGGCAGCGAGTGATTCCAATCGTTTTATTTCACAATTTTACGCAGAGAAAGAAAAGAAGCAAAGTCGAGCTTGTGATCGAAGAAAACGTTTTTAAAAATTTGATCTAAATATTTTATACACGGGATTTTTAAAATCTGTATCTTTTAGACAACTCCTAAGAATCATTCTATCAGTGAAAAGAAAAGAAGTTCGATCATTATTTAGTAAATTTGGTAAAGTAATTCCGAAAAATACATTTTTATCATAATGAACGCAATAAAGGAAGGAGATAATATTCTATTACTCTGGGAAAGCAGCGACCAAAACGATTTGAATTTGTTAGTGAATGAATTAAAAAATATAACCAAAACCGGACAGATTGTTTTAGAAAACTCGGGAATGATTACTGACTGTGAGTATTGATGTGCATGTAGTATTCTTGTGTATTATTTGGCAGCTTAACAAATAACAAACCTTGATCATTTTCAATAAAATAATAAATATTTAATCATCAATAGTTGATACAAGGCCAGTGCTAATTCAATCACTTATTTTATTCCAGCATCTCGGCCACATTCATCTTTTGATGTAGTTCTGTCTAACTGGATCCCACCTCATTCTCTGAACCACACGGACAACCTTTTAGCTCTTATTGTTAAACTTCTCAAACCCAGTGGTAAACTTGTATTGAATAATAAAACAGATCTTACTAGTGCGCTTAAATTAAATGGTTTCATCAATGTCAATAAAGAGGGCAACAGCTTCAGAGCAGAGAAACCAAAGTTTGAGGTAGTTATATTTATTCTAGTATATTTTTTGTGTATCATTTTCTTTTATAATTAGTTTATCCCTACTTTCATCAAATTTGTATAGTCCATTGTCTATGGGACTGTGACTCCAATGAGCCATTTTCTCAAAATTACTGTTTAAATTAATTTTTAAAATCTTTTTCAAATAACATTAAATTTAAACAATAAAGTTGCAATCACTAGATTTTCAACACTTTTTGATAATCCAATGCTTCATACAAAATGGTCCAATTAAAGTGTCTAAGTGTGGAAAATTTTAGCTGTTTTGTTAAATAATTTTTAACTATAAATATATTTATGAATTTATTTCAGGTGGGCTCTAAAGCATCTCTCAAAATAAATGGCAACTCTGCTGTATGGAAAATTGATGACACTGTAGAGGCTCAGTGGAATGGTGATAACGACAATGATGTCATTGATGACAATCAACTGCTAGATGAAAACGATTTAAAGAAACCGGATAAGCAATCTCTTAGAGGTCAGTGAAAATGTTTCTGTAAAATTGACCATGCATATAGATTTGTACATTTGTGTCTATGATTATCTATCATCATCATAGTAGCAGTTCGATAATGATGATAAATTAATGATAATCTATACTTTAATTATGAGGTGAAAAGATTTGATTGTTTGTTTGTTTGCATTAAATAGTCTTTGAAATTACTGAACTGATTTTAAAAATTCATGCTTCATTTTCCAGCTACATCATATGTGGGTTTTATGTCACCTCATAATTTATTATTGCACCATATAGGCATTGTTGTTGTATTGTATGGCTTGTTGTATGGATGTTGATGATGATTATAGGAGTAGTTAGTACTTGTTTATGAAACAGAAGCTATAATATAATTAATTTGAGAAATCATATCAGTTTAGTAACAATGAACATTTCAACCATGTCATTAAGACAAGTCTAAGAAACCTGTTTTTATAATGTTCTTAATAAAAAATGCTTAAAATCTATTTTGCTCCTGGCACTCTGATATGGGACACAAACCCATGACCTTTCGCAATCTGGGCGACCTCTCCAACCACCAAGCTACCCAGGTCCCAACAGGACTGACGAACCTTTCAAGCACCTGTTACTTTTGCTACTACAAAGTGTATTTTCATCAATGTTCAAGCAATCCACCCAAACTGCTGAAAGAAATATAATAATGAGTATTATTTATTTTTTTATATTGAAAATATAAATGCGCCGTAAAAGTGGTGACTTTTGAGAATTACCTAATACTCCTTTTTAATCTTTGTTTGAACTGTGGCTTACATACTTGTTTTAAGGTGTCACAGAAAAGAATTTTTCTATACAGTTTCAGCACTAAAAGTTACTTAATTTGGGATCCGAGCAACATATGTATATCTAATATATTTTTTTATATAACATAAAAATGGGAGAATCATAATAATAATAAATACCTAAACCTTAAGTAAACAATTATAATTACAACATTGTTGTTACAATGTTAGAAATGTTATCTGTTTATCATGCTGCCTATGCCTCTATAATCTGCACCATCATTGGGAAGGAAGGTCGAGGTTTTGTGTTCCGAATATGCAGTGACGTCTCGCCGTGTGGTTGTTACGTCACGTCGAGGTTTTGTGTTGCCAAATTATTAACTTGAAGGAGACCGGTGGCTACCTGTTTGTTTACAAAGTAGAGCCGATGCCGCTTTCTGAATAGTAGATTACAATTTGCATGTAATTGCGATTGTAATTTCAAATGATATTTATTGAAACGCATGACAATTTATTTTTAATCCTGACAAAATTTCTTTTAATTATATTAATAACTAAGATAGCAGGAGTATAATTAGGCATATTTCTTTGATTACACGAGACTAGAATACTATTAAAATGAACCCAATTTTATTTTTAATTTTTAATATATACTTTTAAAAATTATAAAGTTAAACAGATGAATCGAGCAAGAATTACCATTCCATAAACTAAGTTCTGGATCTGCTCTTGGTTTAATCATTATTAAATCCAGCAGTTTTATATTTCTGAATTAATAGAGCACACCTCTATTATTTTATCTTCCATACATACTTACTATCTTTAAGAGATATGGTATTCAATATAAATTTTAAACAATGTCAAGGACTATGCGCGGTTTGTTATTTAACACGCAACCATATTCATAATTGTCTCTCGTTCGATACCAATTTTTTTTTTTTATCTAAAATACATATTTTGTGTGCTTACATTAAAACGTATTTATGACTTATGCTTCAGTATGTGCAACGACTGGAAAGCGGAAGGCGTGTGCAGATTGTTCCTGTGGCCTTGCTGAGGAACTGAGAGGAGAAGTGAAGGACACACCAAAATCTTCATGTGGAAGTGTAAGAGAAACAGTTACTTAATCTCCATACTAATATAATATAATTAGATCTCAAATTTGAGGTGTGTCAGAACTCTTAATATACATATTATGTATGTGCAGTTACATTAAAAAAATATATAACCTGAAAGTCTCTGAAAACACATAAATATTGTTGAAAGAATGAAATGCCGCGTACGAGCCATTCAGTGTTTCCGAAATTCACGAAAGAAGACGATAAAGAGATAACGTTTTTATTCGTTTTTTTCTTAATTTCAATAAAATTTTACAAAAATCGAGTAAATTTTTTGATAAATATTAATCTAACTACTTTTTAATTATTTACTTCACATAATTCTTAAGCGTGAGCGATAGAAAAGGTAATTATTTTTTAGATGCAACTAAAAATTAACGTTGTATAGATTCAAGATCTCTTTTTGAATGGGGATGACGACTGCGTGAAAAAAAAGAAATAATATTTAGTCCGTCAGTTAGATAATACAAAAATAGTAACGATTTTTTTTTGCTTCAATTTAAATAAGAAATGGCTTAGATAATCAGCATTTATGTATTACACTAAACACATACCCAGACACACATAACACACATAGACGAGTAATATTCGTAATTTTAAAAACATCGTTTTAAGTTACGGTGTTCTTCGAGGGAGAGCTTAATGACTGAAAATAAAGAGTTTAGTTTACTACTAAGCTCAGTGTCAACTTAGTCTCAATCTAATTGGATTGGCAACTCTAAAATTGTTTTTTCTCTCAATTATTATTACTAAAATTGAGTAGTGTGGGCTCACCGCGTCAGTTTTTTATAAAATGTACCAAAGTGTGACGTTATGCGACATTTCAACTCAATGTATCGCCATAATTAATTGAGATTACACAAAAAAAAACGTGTTCAGTAATCTACCTGACGGACAAACACAAAAAATAGTTATTAACCCTATTCCTTATCTGCTGTTTAATAATATTTAAGTAATGAAAAAAAAATTGTTATAGTGTTACCTCGGCGACGCGTTCCGTTGCGCCACGTGCCCGTACCTCGGTATGCCTGCGTTCAAGCCAGGCGAGAAGGTGATGCTCGACCTGAACTCTGACGTCTGAGCCGTAAGGTTCATTTTTATTAATGAATAAATTTTACTCACCTGTTGTGAGCGCTTCTATAATAAATATTTATTTTTAATTTGATATCTGATGTTTTTCTTGACGAGGTTTAGTTCCTGGTGATATAAATAAGACATAGAACGTATTAATACTACTTTCTGACGCTAGATTGCAGCACTACCACATATAATGAACGGTTTTTCATAAATGTCACGCGTCATTTACAGAATAAAGTAATGGTGAGCATATTAGAAATTTCATATTTCTTAATTTATAACCAGAAAATGTGTAATTTTATCCAATAATACAACATTGCTACATATATGGATTTAAAAAGTATTAATTTGTAAAAGAATTTCAAAATTTTGTTAAAATGTCCGATTACCCAATATAAGATTTAACAATGACAGTTGTCGTAGCTGGCACAGGTGATGGGAGAGTTCCTGAATAAAACTGTTCAAGCTTTGTTATTATTCGGTGACAAAACGAAGTTTTCAATTGATATCGCATTTATATAAACATATTTAGATTGTCTCGGGTTTGGGTCTTGTCTTTAATGCAAGTGTTTTAGCTTCTTAATTTGGAATTTGTCTCAAATTTACACAAGCGGCAAGATAAGTAAAAAATATCTAAAGTTATTGTAGGTAACACGTTCTTAACGTGTTCAGTTCAAAATTTGGAAACCGGACAAATAGAGGGGTGTAGACAACGTTTTTTATATTTTTAATTTTATATAAATACATGAAATATATCTAAAAAATAGTAAAAAGATATGATTCATATCATAAGTTAAATCTAAAAATAAATTTAATTTTCAAAATTTCCCGCGTTTACGCCACTTCTGTCATGCCTTGCTATGACGTCACGGCAATCTGAAACAAATATCGTTCTATGTATGCATGAGGTTGAATTCTTTAAGTTCTGATATGAGTAAGAACAGCGTGTCGTCACGCGCTGTATGCTGTAACGTAATTAATGGCATAAAATATTTGTTTTTTAATAATTAAGCAAATATTATAAATGTGAAAATGTGATTATTAGTAATAATAATATATTAAACACTACCAGAAAAAAATGTATTTAGTTTCGCTTACTGTCTACACCCGTATTCGGAAATTAATTTCGTGAATAGAACCTTTGACGCCCCACGTGTTTGCGGGCCCCACGCAATTGGTCTGACCAATAAATAAATTTATTAATTCAGTGTTAAATTTTAAGAGATAAAATAAGTCAGGCTTCTGCTTAAACTCATACGTGACGTTATAACTCGCTGGCATACAGTGCCCGATTATCCACGTAGCAAATGCTACGGACCCCACGTGTTTGCGGGCCCAACGCAATTGGTCTGACCAATAAAAATATTTTTAAAGTCAGTGTTAAAAAATGTAAGAGATAAAATAAGTCAGGCTTCTGCTTAAACTTATACTTATATTAACTAAACATAAACTGACATAAAAAACCTTAAGTCTCAGATTAGTTGTGTTATTCGTAAAGATAAGCACAGCTTTTTTGTTTCATTTGCAAAGTTACTGATTCCGATTATTCGTCATCGTCATATCGGAAGATATATTAGGTCGAGGAAAAGTCTTTTTGCATATAGTATACATGTACTTGTAATAAAATCTTTCTACCTATACCATTCGTATCTATATCATTAAAATGTTTAAATTTTAAAAAAGATAAACTCCGAATTCAAATTAGGAGAATGTGTGATATTCAGTTCTTTTTCTTACAGTCAAAATGAGTGAATCTAAAGAAGAAATTTGTTTTATTATAAAAAAAGGCAAAAATGCAACGCAAGATGCACGTTGCTCCGGTCGCACGGTTACGGATAAAATGTATGTCAGTTTTGAAAAAGTGGAGCATGATCCGCATATTAGTAGTTAACCCGTAGCTGAAGAACTGGGGATTGACCAAAAAACAGTTTCGGTGCATTTAAAAATAAAACTGGGTACAGAAGAAAGTTGTATATGTATTTGGATACATCACGAGCTTACTAAAAGAAGCCTAATGAACAGTGTACCCCTTTGTAATTCTGTATTCACCGAACCATTTTTGAAAAAGCTGATAACTGGTGATCAAAAGTGGATCATTTACGTTGTGGTCGTCAATCAAAAGGGTCGTGGTAAAACGTTGGCCAGACTTTATAGACTATGATGATACCCGGTTTAATTCGCAACAAGGTAATGCTGTGTGTATGGTGGGATTGGAAGGGCATTATTCAATATCATTATGTACCGCCAGGCAGAACCACGGATTCTGAACTCTACTGCGAACAACTGATGATTAAAGCAAGAAGTTGAGGGCTGACAGAAGGGTTGTGGTTTTTCATCATGATAAAAGTTAGACCTTACAAATCTTTTGCCACTTAACAAAAATTAAGAGAGTTTGGCTGGGAGATGTTAATGCAACTGCCGTTTAATCCTGAACTTCAAATTTCCTCCTGTTTCGGTCTCTTTAGAATTCTTTAGGCAGTGTCAGGTTAACATCACGCGAGAACTGCCAATATTGCTATAGGCCCCGCTCTGGCTTAATCCAACACTGTTGACATAATCAGGGATACAAGAAAAATATGGGCAAATTTTGTATCCTATACATGAAGTATATATATTGTCTAAATGGATACTGATTGATTCAAAGTTATTTGTTATTTATATTGTTTTAATTCCAATCGATGCGTAAAGTTTTGTAAGTTTATTTCAAAGGTGTCCAAATGAAACAACGGTTTAGCAAATATTCATTTATACATATTTTCTCTTCTTTTTACAAACAGTTAACTTACCTTTAACATATTATCTCGGTCTATAACATTTTTTTTTTAATTTACATTAATTCTGAAATAGTACTCATTCCGCTATACAATAAAATATATAATAATTTTGCCATATTTGTCATAATATAATTACATAACAATTATATAAAATTATTTATCTATGAATTAAATGACACAACATTTCCTGTTCTCACAACTTATATTTAAACCGTGATGGAAATTTGTAAGTAATGTTTATTATAATTACCGATTACTTAATTTAATGCGAACTACTTTGTGGCGAAACAAATATATGTAATTATATATTAATATGTAGTTAAATTTTTTTATAAAAACCAAATTATTAAACATGCATTTTTTGTGTCAAATCAATGATGAAAAGTTATATCTCACAGAGATGGCACAAGTAATTGTGTCTATTATCAAGGTCAACGCACACCGTGTATTTTCTATGCTCAAAAGTACTACAAACGAGAAAAAGACGCAGATATACTTACTACAACATCGATAGGGCGCGGTTCTTCTAACCGAGCTAAAATGTTTTCAGTCTTGTCAAAGTCTCTGTTAGCTCAATTGGAAAACATTCGGATCGATTAGCGCAGTGAATTGGGCTCTACGGCTTCAACCAAAGATTATTCAATATTGATAAATATGCCGTCAAAAGATTTTTTGATAATAATTAGCTTACTTAGCTTGAGCGAACATGCTCGACTGACATTACAACTTAATAGCAACATCAAAATCAAATAACATTCATTTAGATACAAGGGTTTAGGACCATTTTACTGTAATATCGTGCAAATAAGTGAAAAGTTTTTTTATTTTAAAATCATGTTTAATTCCTTGGATCGGTGAATCAGAAAAGATTTTAAAACAGGTAAATGCTGACATGAATCCATTTCCTTTTTCTTTTAAGTATTATCAATGATAACTATTAATAAAGTATTGTGGTGAAAATTGATAAAGGATTAATATTGTATACATGTATAAAACATTGTGTGCATTAACCTTAACTTTTGGGTTGTTTACTGACTATGGGAACCATTACTGGCCGAGTTTAACATTGGTATCAAAGTAGCTGTAAGCATTAATGCTAACTAAATACCTTTTTCTCATATAAACTTGAAAATTACTCTTAGCGCAGATCTAATTTCTTCATTTATACGGAATTAAAAAAAATTCTAAACATAGACAGAAAGTACAAGGATTTTCTTAGTCGCTTAACTTCGATTGTCATGCAATTCTTTTTCTTTTATTTTTTAATAAAGCTGAGACAATTTTGATATTCGGTTTATTAAAATTATTTTTGTAACGCAGTCGTTATTTGGCACTTAGTCGTTAATGACAAGCTTAAGATATTGTCGTTAAAGACACAAAGGTGTAAAAATTTATGTTGTAAAAAAGAATTGCATAAAACTAAAGTTTATTTTGTAATTGAAGTTTAACGATTGAACATTTTCTCCCAAAAATCAATATAGAATGCGTTTTCGAATTTATAATAAATTTATACACATACTATGGTCTCGTGATTGTATTTTTTTTTTGTTGTATTGGCGCCCAACGTGGGGTTTCAGCGATGAAATCTTTTGTGTCGAGATCATTGAACAATAAGGCTCACGATACTGATTGTAGGTAACTCCTGCGACTAATTTTAAAGGTGAACGTCCACTTTGTATGAACGCATTCAACGAACGAACGATGTTACGGAAATAGTCCCCACTCCGCATGTGGGCCCTGTCAATCAATATAAATGAGCCATAATTATTGATAAATATATTATGCGTTCGAAAATACGTAACAATAGTATTTTTAAATAAAGTGTAATTGATTAAACAGAAGGGTTTGACATAATCATAAACTTTCAAAAATTCAAAGAATTTTTGTTAGAAATTATATTAATATATTCGATCATAGAATAATTATAAAACAAAAGCATTATAAACCAAAAATATCTTTTAACTAACATTTTCCTTTGATTCTTGATAGAATGTTACATATTGTCTGTTTACATACTTATCACAAAATAATTCACAACGATATTCTTTAATCCATAACAAATATGGCAAAGCATTCACAAAAGATTTGATAACATAAAAATTATGCAAATTTTTATGGATTGGCGTAAATTAAGGTTAACATTCATAATTATCTATATAAAGATAATATTATTAATGTGAGACGCGGAAGAACATCGATTTAACCGTCTTCGTCGACGGCTAGTTACGGAATTCTCAAAAAACGGTTTTTATTATAATCAAAATTCTCATATCGCATAATCGAACGCGGAAATCATAATAATAGCACCTTCAATTGGAAATTAATACTTTCTGAATTTGAATTTTGGGAAATAATACTTTTTCGTAAGGAATTTTGTACTAAATATATAGTTCGACGTGCGCGTCGGAATCGGAACTCGGGCCGGAACGAGCGCATCCTTAATAAATGCTCCTACATAATTTAAGTAATATCTTCGAAGAAACTACTATCCCACAACATTCAGTAAAGCGTCCCAGTCTTTTTAAAAGTTTTATTTTCATCATATTGAGATCTTGTTTAGACTTGTTTACGACCGGCCGCGCGTGACCTCACGCGTCCTAACACGGTCTTAAAGTTTGTGAGGTAGGCTTAGTCATGATCTAATGAAGCGCCCTGTTAGAAAATACCGATTAATAAAATGAGATCTTTCATTACAATTACAAATAAAAATAAGACGATAAAAACTAGAGTTACATACATTATACAACATATTATTAACTTTTGTACAACACCGGTCTTCGATGCGGTGTTTCATAATCTATGGAGGTCGATTATCGACATACGTTTCAATAAGCACGTAATATTTATGGTACAATGAAATCAACATTCGGGAAACGAACCTAACGAACCATATCGCGCGCGGGCTAACCTGTGGTCTAGCAACACTACGTTCATATATTTGTCTTGATGATGAATATCAGTTTGTAAAAACATTTTGGACTTATCAGCGCTTTTTTAATATCAGGGCTGCAATACAGACAGTGAAGCTTAGCTATTTTCCATGCTATAAGTAGCATCTTTTATAAGTAAAGCTCGGTAACAATTGAAGAAACTGCATATGTAAGCGATTATTTGACATCTTTACAAGGTTATTTATCTGTTTTCAGTAGTTAGGGTAATAAGGTAATTATATAAGCTATTACTTCAAAAGGAACAACTATCGTCCAAATTCGCTAGTCATTTTAGAACATCTTACTATAGTTTCTATATAGTATAGAAAACCTTATTAGCAGTATGGTACCTACCAAATATTTCCGTTTAGATAACGTGATTTTGGCATTTTGTAGTAAGATCTTTGTAGATCTTACTACAAAATGCCAAAATCACGCGTCATATTTAAAAAGCATCACAATATACCCTGTAGTCTATTCCTAAGATTGGTGAAGAAACTTGCATTAACCTAAAGTATTAGGTGAGCGTTAAAAGTCAACAATGTCTATCGCTATCCATAGAACTGTATCGTTTCCGCGAAGTACTACTTTTTGTCGTATGGAACGCTATAGGTAGCTGACCTCACCCAGTACAACAGAACGCAGTACTTGGCAGTATCATACAGAGGTGTATTGTAGCAATTTTTTATTTAAGTCATTGACCGCTTTTTGCTTGCGCTAGGAACAGACTAAGGCAATATTTATGTCATTAAAATGGTATAGTTGGTAGGTAATTCGATGATTTTATTTCTTATCAAAATCATCAAATTAGCATTATTGACAGTCTAAACAAATGCAACCGAATAAAGAACAGAGTAATCTTACATAATATAGATGTACGGATATTGGTGTAGTCTATTTATAAAGTCCTTGTCACAATATTTAAGCACTGACGAAAATTCGCCATAATTATAAGGTATCGTCCACCCCAGTGTCAGCTGTCGAATATCAGTTTTAAGGTTAGTAAATTTTCAATACATTTTTTTTTTGCTTTATATTAAACAGCCGACAGTGTGCAGCGTGTATTAATAAATTAAATTAAATTTTTATTTATACCATACCATCAGTCTCTTATACTTTTGTTACGCTGTTATGTATACCATTAGTTTACTTCGCTATATTATAGGAGGCATGACTTACGATTTCTTTGTGAATTTTCATGTACTTGACGGCTCACAATAGCGTTTGAATGAACCTAAGTACATAAAGCTATATATTATTTTATGCAAAATAAATGTTTACAATGATCTCCGAAACATATATGATATACAAATATAACCATTCACTTAATTATATTTATACAAAAATCAATTTGATTATGATATGGCCATGAATTTGCGTTAATTACGCATAACGATATATGTATATAAATCACAGACGCTAAATTTGTCTTCGGGCTGTTTCCATTTTCGGTGAATATTTTTTGAGTATACTACAATAGTTCCTTACCAATAACGCTTACCCTAATACATACTTCCTTTATTCAAGCAATACTTCACACCTTAACTGACCAATAACTACAAAATATCACAGACTGTGTGTTTATTATGTATACATTTTCTCATACAAAATTATGTTTATCACACATGGACGTCAAACCTAATAGATGACATCTAAACGTGATGATAAAATAGGTATACATTTATAATTTACTACTATGTTACCGAGACTGAGGTCGTGGTCCTTTTATTGGATCACCTGAAAATATATACTCTAGTCTCTTAATAGTTTAACTCCATTCAGCAGTTGGATATTCCCTATTTAACCCTTAATTTTGTTCTGAACATTTTAATGGTCTAGGATGTTATTGAAGAACGAAGCGTATGTCGCTTTACCATTTGAGTACAGTCGCAAAACATTAGGGAAAGGGAACAAATATTATCTTCTACTATAAATTAAGATATATTTAGGACAAACGACTTGACCCTCCTTTTATAAATATTTAAACTTTTTTTTTACAATATATAGTAAGTTATATATCAACATTTATTCTAAACACGAATTATTTGTCAATGCTATTCAGCGAAGTAATCTACTATAAATGAAGAGGAAAGACTCGTTTTTAATGTACGGTGAACGATTCCCGCATAACAACGACACACGTCGGATATGTATGCAGTCACAACCATCGGCGGCACACTGACTGCGAGATACAACTAGAAATGTTCCGGAAAAATCATGGAATATCAGTCAAGACTTAAGCACACGTCAGCCCTCTACATCTACCTAACATTCATTGTACCTTAACGTTTTTTTATCTAAAATATGCATTACCACGTGTCTCTGGCGATTTTAAATCTCATTGGTTATCACATTATCTCACCTACATTAAGATCTGATAGAAACTCATTTGTTATTTTTGTGCTCTTTTGAATATTACTCCATTATTTTAAAACTCTTTATAAGGTACACCTTACAATAGTGTTCTCTCGAATATAACGATTACGTGTCATTAGAAGATAACGTGTAGTTAAACTACACTTAACGCTACTTTTGTGACACATAAATGTCGTCATGGAGTGGAACTTTCAACTTTGACCTAAGGTTACATACAATATTTACAAACATTGTACACAATGTACAGAAGCACCCGACAGTAAAAAGCACCTAAAGTTCCCGAATAGAATATCATAAGCGTACGTCCCGACTGCTGTCGCTGAAACTAGACACTGTGGTCACTGGGATGTGATCATGGAAAGCAGTCAGACACATCGACGACACGACAGAGGCTCGTCACACACGTTCCACAGTAAAATAAGTCCAAGAGTCGCAACGAAGATCACAACACATTAAGATCCGAGCGCGTTAGAACTAAGCTGTTGCTCAGCGTTTTTTGGGGGGCGGACAGTCGTCCTCGCATACATCTGAGGCTGACCACCGCCTTTTCCGAGCGTCTTCTTTCACGCTGAGGTTTTCTGGATGTGTTTGTGGAGGGGCGGAGGCGAGCATGGTGCTTGTACCCTGTGGCCCTGTTGGTCCTGAATGCCCCGTGTGACCCGCGGGCCCAGTGGGCGGATGCCCCGCGTGCTTGCGCGCGACTAAGGAAACGCAGACGTCACCGACTTGCAGCCTTTGTACGTTCAAACCGTATCGTGCCAGCGTGCGGTCGGGCCTACAGGAAGCCCAGCCTCGCCCGTACACGAAGAATGGGTGCTCGACAGTGGACTCGAGCTCTACCTGGAATATTAAATAACTGTATTAAAAAAGTTGCTTATCACTAAAATTATTAATGACTTATAAAATTGCTATAAACTGAGATAGCACAACAATTCTGTAGCACCGGTGAAAAACCATAAAAAAGTAATGTTTGGCATCTCTAGCTTAACTTAAAGGTACTGTTATTTATTGAAAATATCAGAAGTAACAAATGCTTACGAAAGTGTCCGATACAGTATGAAATTGTGATAAAGTTTGTATTTCCTGTGTTTCTGCATTCCTACCAGCATAACACATCGTGGAATTACCTGCGATCTATTCCTGTCGTAAGTGAGTGTGAGTGCTAGTTTGTCACCGCGCTCGTCCAACCGCAGCAGCGTGCACTGCGTGAGCGTGAGGTCGCCGCTGCGGTCAGCGCTCATGACAAAATCTTCTGTCCGCATCTCTTCAACACGGCGGAGGGAACCGTCCTCCAAGCGGATGAGCGCTCCGCGGCAGAAGTACGGCGCGGGAGCACCTCGCTCCGGTGACATGGGTGGTTCCTAGAATGTTAAACATTACATACGTTTATTGTTTTTGTCTTTGCATCATAAAAAGGAACTTACTAACACGCCTTAGAGCTTACCAAAGATCTACTATTAAAAATACTAATTAATAAGGTATTTTAATTTTTAATATGTGATTTCTATACTAATTATTTAATATTTTTTGTACATATGTTGACATTGTAGAATGACCTTGTTTATTGTAAATGTTATTGTTTATTATAAATGTTGTGGTGTTTCTTACGCCGATATTACTTCCCAGAAACTACCAATAATTAAGTCTCTCCGTCTTAATTTGACCACAGTTTATGCCTTATGCTTATTACTTAGTCAACTATCTAATAAAACGATGCAATACTAACTTCTCTTGGTGGTGGAACGGGCGCCGGCGCAGTCGGTGGCGAATGCGGTGCCGGCGCCGGCGGAACGAATCCCGACGAGTGTCTCGGACGCATCGGATACGCCGCCTGTGGTTGTAGAGCTCTGGTCCGGTACAAGTAGGATGCGTATCCGGGCGGCAAGAATGGCGTGTAGGTCGGGAAGGGTGCGGGTGGGGCAGGCATCTCGCGGCGTCGGGGAGGGTACCGTGCGTACGGCCGCGGCGGGGGAGGCAGGAACTCGGGCGTCATGCCGGCCGGCGTCGGCGGCGGGTATAGATGGCTCAGCTGCCCAAGCTGCCCCAGCTGGGCCAGCGCCTCGCTGGGGAGGCTCGCCGAGATCATCGGACGCGCTGTTGGCAAACATTGTCACATAAGTAAAAAAATATGTTACTCGTAATACAATCTGCGTGACAGATGATATGGATAATAATGAATGAAAACTTTGGAAGAAGATAAAGATGAAATAATAGATTATATCGCACATATTTTAGGGGTAAGCAAAAGGAATTTAGTAACACATGACACGGTCTAAAATACATGTTTCGCTTCGCATTCATACTCTTCAATCATGCTCACCGGATTTTAGACATCATCTACTTCAATGCCCATACTTAGACTTAGAAAAGATCTTTTCCTTCTTTGATATAATATGATCGACCCGTAAGAAACAGGATCTTTGAGATAGTAAAATTCAAAAATTGACAACATACATTCAAAAATTATTGTTAATTGTATTTGAGCTCCAAATATTTCTAAAACTTTCTGCTGTCCCTGTCGTCGATTCCTCTCCATTCCACCACTACCTGTGCTATATCATTTTAAATTTGAGTATTTTATCATCTAAATATTACCTACTTAATTAAATTAATATGTGCGACTTTTTTTGTGTGTACATGTACTAATATAGATTTTAACCTATATTATATGTCCTATATTATATACCCAGTTAACCCAAATATTGTGTAGGTGATTTCATAGAACAAACAAACAGGATTAAAAGATACCTACCAAGAAATATTGAAAATATGAACGTACGACTTAAACAAAAAGGCATTAAGTTATTCTTATTGACAGCATTCTGCGTTATCGAGTCTATATTATGTCGGCAGATAATTGTACACATACAGTTCATAAATAATGTTGTAACTAGATCATCGAGCCCTTGTTCTGGTAAACGGTGGCGTCCTACATCTGCATTAGATTACTTTAGTCGCGTTTACTAGCCAGATAAAGTTTTGAACGTCACCGTTATAAATAGAACTTTATTCACGATGTATATAAAAGTTAGTAATTCAGTATGTTTGCCATATGACGTACCGTTGTCTGTCGTGTTTAAGACGTAGCATACGGTCTAATAATAGGAGACGACTGTTTGTTAATTCTAAACGTAGCTACAATGTGGAACTATTTGGAAGGTGATTATGTTTCGTGGAATTAGTATTAGCCTTGTGTTTTTATTTTGGTGAATTATTAATCTTAAATAAGGTACGGAAAATAATTGAATCCTAATCGTAGGTTCAACATTTTTAGCATTGTTATAGTACTAGTTTGTATTTATAAGAGAGTTTGTAGGGAATCTTATAATATGCACTAGGAACTGATAACAAGTGATTTGTGTTCTCTACACAATATATATTTTAATGGATATAATACATCAATATTGAATATAAGTTTAACTAGTAATGTCTACGCTGTATACTATATAGAATAAATGTGTGACAAACAAAGCAAACAGTGAATAAATATGATCACAATATATTTTAAAATAAGTTAACCCGGGAAACTGCACACAGTTTGTATAAGAAAAAAAATTGCGTGTATATATTTTCCATTTTTTGTCTTAAAAAAAAAATACATTTTGCGCTCAGCAACACATTTGAGATTATTTTTATTTTGAAGATTTTTACGTTTTTACCGAGCTTTCATTATTAAAAAAAAAATAAAAAAATATTATTAACAGAATATCAGTAGTTTTAACGTGAAAAGGTAACATCTAAAGTTAGTATTTTCGTATAAAACTGTATTAAAAGATAAACATTTATCCTTTTGACTCAGCCTATTTATGCAAGACTTTAATGAATTTTACACTAAAAGATTCCTAGCAAATTGCTTCGTCCACTGATAAAACCTACAAGAAAGTTTGTTCGACAGATACACGAATTCAAGCAATGAAAAACTATGTCACCTTCCTACTACAACTCACGCAATTTGTCGGTATTTTTACACCTTGTTTTGATACTAGATGGCGACAGTTGAGTCCGAACGCAACGGATTGCTTAGGCTTGTGCTTTTGATTAGACATGCTGGAGTTCTATAGCGCTTTTTTTTGACCCCATACGCTTAGGTCCCACTCACAACAGATAATATTAAGCTTTACGTTTGTTGGCTTTCAGATTTATCTCGTTCATTTGGACTTTGTTTATAATAAATAATTGATGATTACATATTTTCAAGTACAATCAGTGTTGTTTCAAAATAAATAGTTATCTTTTTTAAAGTTATTACATATTTTTATCTATTTAAACCAGTCATCATCACGTGAACAGACATGATATGAGTATAGCAATGTTTAATAATAAAAGCGGTAATCACGTGGTAGGTGTTATGTAACTGAAGTTGAGTGTTACAGACTAGCTCGAAAAGTGTAATTGCTGGGATATAACCTCTGAACCAACACTGTAAAACATTGCTACCGATGCATATTAGGTACGTGAGGTCTGTAAAGGCTTTTATAATATTAGTACAGGCAGGATTACCAACCAGTGACAGGGTTACCAACATCATGCAAATTAACACTATATTATGGATAGTAACTGTTTATCTGTTAGGTTTCACATCACTGGACTGATTTATATGAAATTCTGAATAAAATAATATTATATAAGACCCAAGGAAGGATTGGATAGTTGTTATTGCGGTACGAAGTGAAAAGAGAGCTAGAAAATCGTGCAGTTGGTTATTTAATTGGAAATACGTTAAAACCAATTGATTAAATTTGGCGAAATTGTAGGCTATAAAAACAGTTTTAAGCATAAAGTGTAACGATAATATTATACTCACATAATACATAGGTTATGGAAAACTCAATAATAGTAACAATAACGCAGAACTCTATGACTGCAATTAAGAAAATTTTGAAAAAGTATTATTATTTAGGTGATGTAATGTTTATTATCTTGTAGTAGGCAAAAACGTATTTTTTATATTAAAGAATAATACGAGATTACATGCACTAGAAGCACAGAATCTTTCTCACCGATTAAAACTCGAGCGCTCCCGGCACGGAGGGTTCCGTGCTCGGCTAAACAATTTTTTTTATAACATACAGGAATAGCTCGCGTTTGATCTGGTGTAGTGGACATAGTAGAACGTAACGTTTTTTACGATGTAAAAGTATTTAAATTTATATAACTTATAATCTAATATTTGAATAGCAACCCTAACTATTCTAGCAGTTACCTAAAAGGTCACTGGCTAGTTTGAATGTTGTCAATTACTGTAACAAGACTTGCCGCTTCGTAAGTCGTAACATACATACACAACATGTGTAGTATATATTCAATGATCATGCGTTCCATTCATGATACGCGAACTCTAAATGCGGAACGAAAATGAGACGGTGCTAAACGTTAGCACCGCTTACATTGCGCCTTGAGTTTACAATCTCACCGAAAGATCTCAAGCGTGGTTGTCATTGTTAGACGACCTTCATATTCACATCTTAGTTATTGTCAATTGTGCTCTTAATTAGTAAATTTCGTAGTCTTTATGACATGTTAATCTTACGAATTCTGAAGAGGAACGAATTTTCATGTAAGTAAGTAAGTCTATTTATTGGTAAATGTTTATATGAAAACCATAGACTTTACTGTTAATGAAGTTTTTATAACAATGTATCTACTAATAATATTTTTATAAGGACATTATAGGCATATATAGTTTTCTATAGAAACTAATGAAATTGATATATAAATAAAATATATTATGCTGCATGCTAATTCGTTATTGAATTAAAATGGTTTAATTAGTCATGTTTAAATAAGGTTTGATAACAAAACAATGAGAAAGTAGTTTAAAAACACTGTTCCCGAAATGAAACTAGATGTCGCTATAGTACTTTCATTATTTCTCCATGACAACCCTTCCGGTTTTCTTTCGCATATAAAAGTAAATTAATTTTCAAAACTCAATAAACAACTCATATTCCATTTGTAATTTTCGTATTTGTATTGATATCTAAGTTTCGAACTTTGCGAATTTCAGTTTTTGAATATGTTAGTTAAAAGGAACGGAAATGACTATCTTCGGTCCATTCGTTTCCTGCAAAAATCTACTTTTGGTAGAGTCGCCGTCTAGTGCGGTGCTTTTTAGTGCTTTCTTTTTTTTTTCTTAAAATACTTCCTCATTGCCGGAGAAATAAGAAGTTAATCTTGAAAATGTTTTATTAGTGCATGACAAACTCTTTGGTTCGTACAGCTAAATATTATTTCACTTGTTTAAAAATATATATAATTTAGAAAGAGCTGTGTTTTAGTATTTTAAAGTAGTGTGTATACGCCCACTTATAATGAAGTTGTTCAGCATAAATAATAGTTGCTATGTAACATAGGCTTACGATGCAATGCGACTGCGATGCAGACAATTTTCGTATAACCGGAGTCACGTAACAGAATGGCGTAAAGATCACTTAAGTTGCCGCTAACATGATTAATGCAATAAAATAACAAAATTGATGTTCACGCTGCTTGCTATCTATGACGCAACGTTTACCTAAGTAGTCTAAGTACTACTTAAATTGATTGCGTAACATAGTCTAATGCAAAATATACGCTGTGCAATAGAAACTGCAAATACAAATTTCAAATCATTTGAATTGAGGAAATCGAGAATATACTCTTTTGCTAGTTTACATAGAACTTTTTATTTTATATAAAAAGTTATTTGTTAAGTAAATTATCCAGCCAGAAGCTTATATATTTTTATATTGTAATATTAGTACAAAGCTTCCCGCTGTTTGTAAGCTAAATGCAGTTTTCATCATTAAGTATAATACAGGACCACGAGGGCGAAGCTGCTTGCGGCAATCTAGTATTGTTATAAGTCTCCAATCTCCAGTAGGTTTCTAGTTACTGAGACAGAAATATGTTGAACAAACTTTGTTTCTGTTTATTATAGTTTTATTTATTTTCTTTTTTTAATACTCCCTGATTAGGATCTCCGTAAACCCTTAAGTACAGTCACGTAAACAAATGTAGTGCGAGTGATCGTCAACATTCTTGCGCGCTGGCTGTAGGCGTTAATTTCGAGAACAAAGAATGCATGAAGAATGCATGCGCACCTGCGCAAACAA